GCTGGATCAATGCAAGTCAAACAAGCACCTTCGTCCCACACTTAAGAATAGGTACTCTTCTCTATCTGAGCTTCCTTTTCACCTAGCACATGTGGCTGGCCTGTGTTGTGAAGACCCTCCCAGGGTGGGAGAGACATGCTAAAAGTAGTCTATAGACCAAACATGATTGCCACTCAATGCCTCTCTGGCAAAACACAGTACCCAAAAGAAGAGAGAGAGAACAAGGGGGAATGCCCTGCCACAGCGGCAGGGTGGGATGGGGGGGGGTGGGGGGGGGTGGGGTGGGAGGGATGCTAGGACCCGTGGTAGGGGAGGATGGGCACTGGTGGAGGGATGGGTACTTGATCATTGTATAACTAAAACCCAAGCAAAAACTTTATAAGTCTATAAATGTACTTCATGGTGTTTCACTAATAAAAAAAAATGATTAAAAAAAAAAGAATAGGTACTTAAGTGTGATTGCTGGTGGTGGGAAATGTGCATTGGTGGAGGATGGGTTGTTCGATCATTGTATGACTGAAGCTCAATCATGAAAGTTTTGTAACAGTATCTCATAGTGATTCAATAAAAAAATAATAATGTTAAATTAAAAAAAAATAGGAAATGAGAGCATGGCAGGTAGGACCCGTGTCCTGACCTGGGTTCGATCCCTGAGCACTACCAGGAGTGATTCCTAAGTGCAGCACCAGAAGTAACCCCAAAACAAAACAGGACTGGAGATGTGGACCATCAGGGACACCCACGTCCATTCCCACCTGGTGCATAAGACTCAGAGCAAAGTCAGAATGCACAGCACAGAGAAAGCTTCCTGGGCCTCCCCTTACAGTGCTGTGAAGGGAACATCTTCACATCTAAGGCCTTCTAGAAGTAGCTAAAGGGTTCACTCTCCAGCACTGTGAAAATTAACAATGATAAATACTTTTTGCATACCTCAAGGAACTTAGTAGAAGAACAAATTAAAGCCAAAGTCAGTAGATGAAGGGAAAAAAAATAAAAATTACAGTGGAAGTAAGGAAAATAGAAATGAAAAAAGATCATGTAAAAGATCAGTGAAATCACTACTCACAATGAGAAAGACAAATACAGGATGATCTCACTTATATATGGTATTCAAAGAAATACACCACAAGGAGAGAAATGTCAAAGACAAACCCATAGACTCTAACTCCCAAATTGAGCACACCAAGAGACAGGGCAGGGTTGAAAGGTCCAGGGGACTATGGCTGAGGGATACTGTCACTTTGGTGGACACAGGGTGGTGACATTATACCCCTAAAACATTTTAAAATGGAGGGCTTGACGCATAGCACAGTGGCTAAGATGCTTGCCTTGTAGGTATAGGGTCAAATGAGTTCAAATTCCATGTTGCCACATGTGCCAGGAATGTTCTTGGCACCCAAACCACTGTCACATGTTGTGACTAATAACCAAGAACCCAAGCACCACAGTCAGAAAGTGTGAGCCCTGGGAACTCCAAACAGAGCACCACAGTGACCCCTCACCCTGTGAGCACTGCAGCTAGAGCCTGCATGCCTCAGCCAGAGGCGCATGTCGGCAAGCAGAGATACATGCACCACAGCCACAGGAGCACTAACCCAAGAGCCTGCAGCCTACCACTCGACCTGCTAGGAGCACCCCAGCAGAGTGAGTGATTTATCCTGACATATGATGCCCCATCAGCACCCCAGCAGACTATGTGAGCCCTGCACCCTGTCCGCAACCCCTGCCAGCATCACAGTGAGAACTGCGAGTGCCACAATAAGGCTGCATGTGGACCCCACATGACAGATCAACAGCAACAAGGGGGAAGGTCAGGGGAGGGAATAAGAGTGTGTTTATAGAACCTTAGTGCCCGAGAACAGATGACTGGATAAAGAAACCCTGGCAAATCTACACCATGGAATACTATGCAGCTGTTAGGAAAAATGAAGCACGGAATTTTCTTGTAAATGGATGGACACGGAGAGTATCATGCTGAGTGAAAAGAGTCAGAAGGTGAGGGACTGACATAGAATGACTGCAATCATTTGTGGAACGAAAAAAAAAAAACAGTATGAGACTAACACCTGAGGACAGTAGAAACAAGGGCCAGGAGGACAGGTCATGGTTGCAAGTTGGCTTCAAGTGCTGGGGAGAAGGCAGTTTGGATAAAAAAGGAACCACTATGACAAAGACAGTTGGAAGTGATCACTCTGAATAAGAACTGAATAAGAACTGCTGAAAGTAAGTAAAGGAACAAGCATGATGACCTCTCAGTATCTGTACTGCAAACCATAGTGCCCAAAGGAGAGAAAAAAGGAAAGTGCTTCCCATAGAGAGAGGCTGGGCGTGGTTTGAGGGAAACTGGGGATACTAGTAGTGGGAAATATGCACTGGTGAAGGAATGGGTCTTGGAACATTGCATGACTGAAACACAGTCATGAACAATTTTATAACTATCTCATGATGATTCAATTAAAATAAAAATTATTTAACACACATACACACACACACACACGTTTGAGGCCACATCCAATGGTGCTCCAGAATTACTCCTGGTTCCATGCCCAGGGATCACTCCTGGTTTGCGCAGGGGACCATATTTAGTGTCAGGGATCAAACCCAGGTAGGCCACAGGCAAGACAGGCACCATACCTGCTGCACTATGTCTCCTGTCTTCTCTAAAACAAAGACAAGTGTGCCAGGGGTTGGAGTGAGCTCGATGGATTGAGTGCATGCTGTGCATGCAGGCCAAAGCTTCACGGTTCCCTGAGCAATACCACCAGCAACTCCAGAGTACAGAGCCTGTGGTAACTGAATATCTCTAGGTGTGGGACAAAAATCAGGGGGAGAAAGAGAGAGAAAAAGTGAGAAAGAGAGAGGAGAGAGAGAGAAGAGGGGGGAGAGAGAGAAGAGAGAAAGGGAGAAGAGAGGAGGGGGAGAGAGGAGGAGGAGAGAGAAGAGGAGGGAGAAAGAGGAGAGAGAAGACAGGGAGAGAGAAAGAAAGAGAAGGGAGGAGAAAAAGAGAAGGAGGGGGAGAGAGAAAGAGGAGAGAGAATACAGGGGAGAGAGTGGGGGGAGAGAGAAGAGAAGGGAGAGGGGGTGAGAGAAACAGATGGAGAGGGAGAAAGAGGACAGACAAGAGAGAAAGAGAAAAGGGGAGGGAGGGAGAGAGAGATGTGAGAAGAGAGAGCAGAGAGACAGCGCAGTGTACCCAAACTGCTCTAGAATCAGAACTATTAATGGTTTAGTGACAGGCCGTCCGAGGCAGATCAATGGACCATAGGGGCACAGGCCGGTCTTTGGAAGTGCAGACACCAGTACTGACCTCTGTCCAGTCAGTTCCATTCACAGCTCTGGACACTCAGCATGTGCACCTGAATGAGGTCCACACTAAGCTGCTCTGTGGGCCTGGCTCCCGACTGAGGAACCATACTGCAAAGACTCCTGCCAGTGCCTTGGCTTGAGGGAGCATCCAGGACGTGCCTCGGCAGCAGGCAGGAATGAGGCCTTGGTCACTCGTCCCTCTCACCCACACACAGCACAGGGAGTCATCAGTACTTCCCGACACTGTGAGGTCCTATGGGTGTACAATGGCTACATACACGGGCAGGATCCTGCTCTTCAGAGGTAAAATCTTGCAGGGTTGGAGAGAGAGTACTGGGACAGAGGCACTTGCCCTGTGCACAGCTGACCCCAATCCAACCCCCAGGAAGGCCTATGGCTTCCAAGATTTCCAGGAGTGACCCTTGAGTACAGAGCCAGAGGTGAACCCCGAGTACCGCCAGGTGTGCCCAAACCCTCCACCCTCCAATTTTTTTTAAGTAGCAGTATCTAAGTACTATTCAAATTATCATCCTATTTAATGTCATGTTACACTCGGCACAAGGGAAATAAGTGATGGTGCTCTAAGAATCTATAACAGGAGCGTTCTCCTAAATCAGTCAAGTAGGGCTTCCTGAGGAAGTGGCAGGGGCGCTAACATGTGAAGGATGAACAGGGTTAACTCTGTGGGAAAGGGAAGGAGACATCTGGCCACTGATAAGAACAATAAACCTGACTGAGGGTGAGGGTAGGTGGAGAGAGAGCACAGAGGGTCTGGCTCTTGAAACTTCCCACTGGTTTCGGGGTCAAGACCAAACGACCCCATGGCCACTCCTGTCCCTGGCCACTCTGTGCTCTGCGTATCCACCACGTCCACTGTCCCTCTCACTCCCCTTACAGTCACACTTGCATTCCATAGGGCCAGTTTTGTTTGGTTTTGGGCCACACCTGGTGATGCTCAGAGGTTGCTCCTGGTTTGCAATCAGGAATCACTCCTGGCGGTGCTCAGGAGACCAGAAGGGATGCTGGGGATTGAATCCAGACCAGCTGCATATAAGGCAGGTGCCTTATCACTCCAGGTGGGGATAATTTTTTTTTGGGGGGGTGCACAGTTGGCTGTGCTCTGAACTTTCTCCTGGCTCTTGCACACAAGAATCATTCCTGGTGGGACTTGCAGAACTATTTGGGTTACCATACTTGAATTTCAAAGATCTTTCTTGTTTTGTTTTGTGGTGCTTGTTTCTGCTTTTGGGCTACACCTAGCTGTCTCTTGCTCAGTCATCAGGGCTCACACGCTCAAGGGACCATATAGGGAGCTGGCGATCAAACCTGGGCTGGCTGTATGCAAGGCAAGTGCCTTCTCCACTGTGCTGCCTCTCCAGCCCCTCAAATGTCTTCCTGGCTCTGCGGTGGGTGCCACAGTGTGGCGGTGGCAGGAGGAAGGGACCAAGAAGAGGAGGCAAACTCGCTCACACACAAGGCACAGGAGCTTCTGCCTCTGCCCACGCGGGGGTCATGGTTTTGGAGAAAAGGCGAGGGCCACTGCCAATGAATGTAGAGGAGCACTTGGGAACTGAGCTGGCTTCGGGAGCACCTGCCTCCGAATCACCTCGGGGGCCCAGGAACTCTGTCCAAGGGATGCTGCAGGGGTGTCTGTGAGGGCAAGGCATGGGCTGGAAAGAGACAGCAGCCATTACCTGGTCATCCAGGGGGATCCCGCTGCTCATCTTCACTCGATTTCCCTCCGGGTGATAGTCATCTGTATCATAGAATTTCCACCCGAGCTTGGAAACAAAACGAAAGGAGTATGTAGCGGGCAGGGTGTCTCAGGCGACTGCCGCCACGAGGGCCCACACAGCAGCTCCGTGCTTCCCCCCAGTTGCAGGGGAGCATCCCCTGCTTCCCCCCCACATCCGCCCACAGGAAAGAAAAGGGGTTTGAATCTCAGCGGTGTCCTGTGGGGCTCACCCATCATTATCTGTAATCACCCAATGGGAAACCAAACTGCAGCAGTGAGTGGCACTCTGTACTTGTTCATGCTTACAGATCATCCTGCCTTCGGGTCGGGGAAGGGAGAGAACAGTAGGAGACCAGTAGGGTGTGCCACTGAGGGACAGAAAGGCGGGTTACCTCGGATGCCAGCAGGGCGCCCACGCTTGATCTGTGGAGAGGATGCAGATGTTCAAATGACCACGCCCTCCCAACCAGCCCATCTGAGGGTGCCCCCCAGAACTCAGATCAAAGTATACTGATGACAATCTGCAAGTGGTTGTAATGCCTTGTTGGTTTTGGGTTTTGGGTGATCCCCGGAGGTGCTCTAAGGTCACTCCTGGCTCTATGCTCAGGGGCCGCTCCCAGCAGATGCTTGGGAAACCATGGGGTTCAGGAGCCTGACCCTGGGTTTCCGGCATGCAAGGCATGTACTTCAGCCCACTGCATTATTGCTCCTACCCCAAAAGTGACGTTCTTGACCATGGAATATAGAGTATGGTTTTCGTTTTCTCCAGGAGTTTAAAGAAAGACATCATTACCCACATGCCGCTAACCTCTCCCCCGAAACATACAATCAAATCTCATTAAACTCCTTAAGTGTTTTGGCCCCTGCTTAATAGATGCCTCCCAAGTGGTGCTCAGAAGACCTGAGAGCCCTTCTGGTGGTTCTTGGCCCACATGGCCAGGGGTCTTGTGCAAAAGCTAGAGACTGTGGTACTGCTCAGCCCTGCCATGCTTGGTCTCACCCAGGCCACAGAGGTGCTCAGAAACCTCCAGGGCTGCACCAGATGGTGCACAGGAGACCACGAGGCACTGCAGGCACAGAGTGCTGGGCATGCACCCTGACTACTGTCCCAGCTCCAGCCCCTAGGTGTTTATTTTCTAAGGGAAAAAAAAACTGAATTCATGAAGTGCTCAAAACTCTCCTGAGGATGCTAGGAGGGATGTGAAGGGGATTAACCTCCTCTAACTCCTACAAGGTGCAAAGCACAGCACTGCCTCAGGGCTCAGGGTTACATGCTTGAGCAGAGAGACAGGACAACAGTAAGGCCCTGCAGGTTCAACCCCCAGCAACCCACCTGGTTCCTGCCAGGAGTGATCCCTGAGCACAGAGCCAGGAGTAAGCTCTAGGCACAGTTGGGGGGGGGGGGCTCCCAAAAGAACAATGAAGAAATAAATAGATGAGACGCACTCTTATTGGACACAAGAGACAGGCCAGCCCTTCGGACTGGATGTCCAGGGATCTCTGCTCAGAGAATTTGATAAGGATCTGTTCCCCCTAAAAGGTAGTGCAGGCAGTGGGAAGGCCTCGGGGCTCTGAATCTGACATCTGGCAGGTTCTCTATTCTGTCATTACAGGACTAAGATCCTGTGCAAGGTGAAATTATTTTCTCACCAGCAAAATGAGAGAACTGACCCATTCCCCATCCGCTCATTTCATTTAGCCAGCACTGACTGAGCTACCAGCTGGCCGCCAGAGGCTTGGTCTGTGCCACGGAAGATGGACAGAGAAGGCAGCCAATGAGAAATGAAATCCTTTCTGGCTTTCAATTTCTAAGGTGTTGCACAAATACCATTTACCACCATCACAATTTACATATCCGCTTAATATTTATCAGACCTGGTCTCCCAAATTTTATATACCAGTCACAGTCACAGTCCTCCCGTTCTTCATTGATTTCTTGAGCAGGCCCAGTAACATTGCGAGACTTGTTACTGTGTTTGGCATATAGAATATGTCACGGGGAGCTTGCCAGGCTTTGCCTTACGGGCGAGATACTCTCCATAGCTTGCCGAGCTCTCCGAGAGGGGCGGAGTAATCGAACTCGGGTCGGCAAAGTTGGCCCTTGTAAGGCAAACGCCCTACCACTATGCTATCGCTCCAGCCCTTTATATACCAATTCCACAATTTTTAAAAATTGTGTTTAAGATAACATGGTTACAATTACACTTTTGGTGTATAAAGTTATTGTACCGCCAGTACCAAAATCTGTCCACCACTGCCCTTATGTCGCTTCTAGTCTCTCTTTTTCCTCATTCCTCAACCCCTCCCCCTTCCATCTGGTGACCTCAACTTTGTAATCAAAGTCCAATTTGTTGGTAAACATTTACCAATTCCAAAGTGTTTACTTGTTTCTCGGGGTCCACACCTGACAGTGATCAGGACTTACTCCTGGCTCTACATTTAGGTATTACTACTGGTGGGGCTCATGGGACCACATGAGGTGCCAGGAATGGAACCCGTGTCAGCCACGTGCAAGGCAAACACCCTTACCCACTGTGCTACTGCTCTTGCCCCTACTTGATATTTTTATATGACTGCTTCACTTTCTGAAATCAAATATATTTTTAAAAAAAGTTTGGGGGGTCACAAAGGTAGTACATCTGCAAACTTCTGACTTGCAAAATCAATCCCCCATTTGACAAATTTATTTGAAATAGACTCAGTCCCACACTGAGCTCCAGATATTTTCCTTCCACATGTGTCTCTTGCTTCTCCATGTCAGCCTATAACAGAGGTTCCCGAATTTCTTTGTCCTGAGATTCCCTATTCAGAAAAATTATTACTCCAGGCAGGAGACGTAGTCCACGAGTTTTGAGGCTTGCCTTGTTCGTGGCTGATCCCAGCTGAATTCCTGCCACATGGTCCCCTGTGCACTACCAAAAGAAGCCCTCAAGGAGTGCTTGGCATGACCCAAAATCAAACATAACATTACTCAACAACCCCTAATTTCATTAGAGGCTAATACTGCCCTTCTGGATTCTTCCAGAAATCCTGGAGCAGCATCTTCCTCTTTGGGGAACACTGGTGTACTTCTCCCTTCTCCAAGCTACCCAGGTGCAAGTCTTAAAACCCCTCTTTACTTCTCATTCATAGTCCATCCACAACACTCTTATTTATATTCCATAACCGAATCTCTAACTTCAGGCCACCCATCTTGCCCTGCTGGGGTTCCCTGATAATCCATAAGGCGGTCAGGCCTCTGGGCCTTGACACGTTCTAGTCCCTCTGCCATAACGCTTTCCCACTGTTCTCCAGGCTTGTCCCCTCCTCTCTCCTAACTCCCACATTTCTTCAGAGGGTCATTCCTTGACCCTCCTGCCTGGTGCTCTGCCCACTTCCTCCCCAGTCTCTCACCTGGAGGTGGCCACCACCGACACTTTTGGTTGATGTGTATGTATTCACTGCCATCCCCCATAGTGGCATATAAACTCCCTGAAGGTAGGGATTTTTGTCCCATTATCAGTGACAACCATGAATGACTGAGTCCAATATTTTTCTGAATGCATGAAACTAACCATCTGAATTGTATAGGATATCTTCCCTCTCGCCTGATGGAAATGTGACTAACTGCCCAAGCTAGCTCAGCAGGCCATGGTGGAACCAAGTCCTGCGGTTACTAAGTCCCTTACACCACAAGTGTAAAACTGCTCCTTAAACTGCACAGGAGCAGTTTTACACTTTTTTTTTCCTTTTTGGGTCACACCCGGCAATGCACAGGGGTTACTCCTGGCTCATGCACTCAGGAATTACTCCTGGCGTGCTCAGTGGACCATATGGTATGCTGGGAATCGAACCTGGGTCTGCCCAGTGCAAGGCTAACACCCTACCCGCTGAGCTATCACTCCAGCCTCAGAACACCACTTTTAAAGCAGGTAGCTAGGAAACTGCAGGTGCTGAGTTTTAATTTCATCCCAGATTCCCTGTCTTTGAGGGTAAACATGCCCCCCCCATTCTTCTAAAGATATATCTATTTACCCGATGCAAGCTTTTTAAATGGGTACAACCCACATGGGTGGTTCCTGACTAAGGAGAGTCAAGAGCATCTGAAGGTCAAGATACTTTAGCACAGTGGGCAAGATGCTGGCCTTGCACACGGCCAGCCGGTGCTCGACCTCCAGTGCCCCACAAACTTCCTGGAGCACCACCAAGAGTGATGCCTGAGCTCGGGCCAGGAGGAAGCCCCACCCCCCGGATAGTTTAGTTCTGGATTTTTTTTTCTTTTTTTGCTTCAGTAACTGTTTTACCAGAAACTACCAGTAACTGGGTAGAGTTAATAGTTGGCTCGTTATCAGGGAACAAAGGTCTCGGTGCGGGCAATCAAGATTGTGAGATGGTTTATGCTGCCTGTCATATAGCCTCCCAACTAAAAAAAAAGAAAATACGGTTCAAGTGAACACGACCACTGTCGTTTACACCGATAACTCGTCATTTAAGGACGGAAAAAAAAAACAACGGAAGGTCAAGTTCACTTCTCGAAACCGGGAGGTGCAAGCGCTCGCCGGGACTGACTGGCGCAGGTGCAGGAGGAGGTGCGGGCGGCGCGCAGGGGCCCCGAAGCGGGGATGCCGGGACCCCTGAGCTGCCGCTGCTGTGGCCCGCCCGGACTGGCCCGCGCCGCCCGCCCGCGCCGGGAACGCGCTCCGGCCGCTCCGGCTCGCGTCGCCCCGCTCCCGTCCCCGCGAAGGGGAAGGGGACTTCCCAGGGGCCCCGCGTCCCCGCGGCCTGTCCTCCTCCCGTGTGCCCGCCGCCCGCCTCCCGGACGTACTTCCCGGAGCCGCTCACGGCCATCACCAGCAGCGAGCTCCGGGTCGTCAAGTCGCCCGGCTCCCTCCAGCCACCGGCTTCAGGCCCGCCGCCCCGCCTCCCGCTCGCCCCGCCTCCCGCTCGCCCCGCCCCTTCGCCCCGCCTCCTGTTCGCTGGCCCCGCCCCGCCTCCCGCTCGCCCCGCCCCCCACTCGCCGCGCCTCCCCCTCGCCCCGCCCCACCTCTCCCATAGCCAGGCTTCCTGTCCCCTTATAGCTGGATATGAATATTTATTTTTTCTTTTTCTTTCTTTTTGGGTCACACCCAGCATTGCACAGGGGTTATTCCTGGCTTACGCACTCAGGAATTACTCCTGGCGGTGCTTGGGGGACCATATAGGATGCTGGGAATCTAACCCAGGATGGTCACGTGCAAGGCAAACGCCCTACATGGATGTGCTATCGTTCCAGCCCCTGGGTATGAATATTTATGAAGCGTGCTCATGCCATTGTGTTTTTTTATGTAACCAAGCGTTTTGCCTCGAGGTGGGCATTCCAGTTGATATCCAGCATGTACTGTGAGAAATATCCCGCCTGTCTAAAATGCATAGATTTAGAGCCTCAAAGACAGGAGAAAAAGGAGGCTTTAATAGCAACTATTGATTTTTTTCAATTTGTTTTTATTTTTATTTTATTTTTAAAAAGCTGTTCAACAACAGTTGACTATGAAAGATAGCCCCATGACAATTGGGCCCTAGCAAAGCAAGTCCCAGCCCATATCCCGTCCTGCAGCTGCAGCAGGCTAGCAACACCAAGTATCCCCTTGCACCTGGAATTCGCCAGATAAGGCCACAAGGCCTGAGAAGGCCTAATGAGGCATCTCTTTGTCCTGGAATCGGCCTAACAAGGCCCAACACCAAGTACTCCCATCTCCTCCTTGCACCTGGAATTCACCAGATAAGGCCACAAGGTCGGAGAAGGCCTAATGAAAAGGCCTAATTGACTGCCCGTTGGGAGGGCCTGGTGACAGGTACAGAAGAGAGTTGCTGGTGCTGATGGCTTGTTGCAAAATGACTGGCTGCCTGCGTGCAGCATCTAATGTGATAATTCAAATGCATTGGGTGACTTGTGCGTGGGCTTTTCTGAAATGCTCGGGAAGATGCTCTATAAAAAGGCCCCTTTGAAGAGGCTCGGGGCTCTCAGTCACTGACGGTTTGTGGTCATACTGTGAGCCCGAGCATGCTTGAATAAACCTCTTGCTTTTGCATGGACTTGGTCTCTCAGAGTTTTCCTTGACAGGTGAGGCTGTCCTGAGCTGAGACCCTAACAGACTACAATTAATATTCAAACACCAATCCCAACATTGTGCTCCTTCCCACCACCATAAGTGGAAAGTTTGTGAAGATTGCTATATTTCATCCTGAAGCCATTTAAGTAAGTCCTTGTATAAAAGATTGCAAGCATGTACAGTTATACCCAAAGAAATGTGTGCTACTTTTTGGTACATCAGTGGGCTAGAGCATAAGAGGTCCTGCAGCCGTGAATTCGGCCTCATGCTCCAGGTTGTTCTATGTCACACTCTTCCATGAGCTTTATTTCATAATCTCTGGGTTTTGACCGTTGATGAGATTATATGGCACCAGAGGCAGTTTGTTGTATGACTACCAAGACACTGGAAAACTGGGGAGCTGGGGGGAGGAGGCCCAGACCCGTTCTGAGCAGGCTTGGAGATATCAGTCACGGGTCCAGAATACTGGATTTTTCTGCAAGTTCCCTCATAGTTGAGGCTCATCCGAACCTGTGCAGAGAGGCCTTGAGCATGGATATGCTTGGATTCAGGAGGTTTCTGACTGCCTGGACTCTGCAGGGGTGGGGAGGGAAACTCAGCCTGTCCCCCTCGAGTGGCCAGGGTGAAGACAGCCTGGAGCAGGATCAGGATGTTCTATGTTGCACTCTCCTGAGAGCTTTATTTCATAGTCTCTGGATCTTGGCCATTGATGAGATTATATGGTGCCTAGAGTAGTTTGTCAACTATTGATTATGGTCTTTCAAGATTGGGTGGTTGCCAAGTAGGCAAACTCAGCAAACATGGGCAGTGGTTCTAACCCAATGTTAGTTCCTGGTCCTTTCTCCCATTTATTAGATACTATCAGGCCCATGTTCTAGGGATAACCATGTTTCATTACAGATGTAGCTACCAAATTTATAAAATTTGTAACTTACAAGTTATAGTTCCTCCTTCTTGGGTTCCAGGACTAAAGACTGCATTTTAAAACCAAGCTAAATTTTCTCTAACAATAATTTTTAACGGCAGGATTTTCAATCAGTATCTAGTGTCAGCACTTGAGGTCAAGTTTCTATTGCCCTAAATATGCTTCCCTATTCCTCTTACATGTACTGTGGCTGTTTGGTATCACTGAAGGGGAAGGGACATACCTTTAATATACCCATGTGCTAGAAAACAGCACCATAACTACATGTGAATTATTATAGTTGAAGCCCCCCTTCCCATTCCTGGGGGGAGATAGCCTGGCATGCTCCAAGCTTTGCCTTTGATTTCCTAGGTCTTCTGATTTTCTCCTCAACACAGTCCATTGAGAATTGCTAGGCTGAGGATGGAAAATAGCCCTAAAACTAAGTTGAGTGAAGAAATAACACTTTCAACCTCCAGTGTTACCCAAATTTATTTTCCTATCTATCCTGGAAAACAAGAAGGCTAACCCAGGGTCGTTAATGAACATTTAGGTTACCACTGCATTGACTTTGTTTTTTCCCAATATGGTGGCAAGACTTTAGCTTTCCTCTGTCAGGTACTGACAAAGAAGTCATGGCTGGCAGCTAAGGTCACTTGGCTAAAGTTACAGGTCAGTTATGGCTAGACCAGGGCAGAGGTAACTTCTACAGAGGCCTTTGTAGTCAGTGTGTGTAGAAGCCCTGCACCATATCTCATATCTCCACCCCAGCCTTCTGCTGAGACGAGATGTAAGAAAGACCAGGTCAAACAGTCATCAGACCAAAATATCTTTTTAAAAAACAATTTTGATTTCATTAAAGAACCGTGATTTACAAAGTTATTGAAACATCTAATGTTCTAGCATCAATTTCTCATCACCAGTGACCCCAAGTTCCCTCCCACCCCCCACAAGCTGCCACCTTACAGGCACATCAGAATGTTTGGTTGTTGTCATTTGTGTCTCATGTTTTTAGTGTTGTTGACTCTGTTTTGTGTCTGTAGCTACCCACCCCTCCACATTACTGATGTATCTCAGGCCATTGACCCCTGCTTACCCATTACTTCCTGTCTTCATCTTCTTTCTCTCTTCCCCCCACCCCCACCTCTCTTTCTTACCTTCTCTGTTCTCTTCCCTGTACTCTATAATCAAGGGCAATCTAGATATCCACTCTTTACCATATTTCATTCCTTATTCTTCCAGTTAATTTATATATCACAGATAAGTGAGATCATCCTATGATTTTCTTTCTTTTTCTGGCTTACTTCACTCACATGATATAATCCAGTTCCATTGAGGTTGCAGCAAATTGAATGATTGCTTCATTCTTTATAGCTGCATAATATTCCATTGTGTATAGTGTTCCATTGTGTATATGTACCACATCTTCATAATACATTCATTTTTATTGGACGCCTAAGTTGATTCCATATTATAGCTATTTGTTTTAAGTGCTGCAATGAATAATGGTGTGATGATGTCATCTTAGATGAATGTTTGTGTGTCCTGAGGGTAGATTCCCAAAAGTGAAATAGCTGGGTCATATGGCAGCTCAATTTACTGAGAACTCTTCATACTTTCCACATTGGTTGAACATTCCTACCACCAGTGGATGAGAGTTCCTTTTTCACCTAACCAAAATAAGAAATTTATAATAAGAGATTGTAATCTCTTGATTTGCATTAACTTTTATATGTTAAATGGCTCCTGTGTAAGGTATCTTTTCAAAATTCAAAATGCATTTATTATCTCTTACTCAGTGAGGATGTTGGAAATTACCATAGGGCAGTTAAAAACTCATACTTTGTCTCCTTTTAACTATTATTTCAATGTAAGTTTTTCCTTCCTTGAGAATGGTCCACTGCAGAGTACATAAACCCCATTTTGCTCTCAGGGAGGGGGTCCCCATCAGTGAAGCAGAATTCTGTTAGCATCTTTCTCTTCCACAGCCCTAAACTTTCACTCTGTAAAATAGTTTTCTTTTTATTCATGAATCAGTGGTATTTTATGTTATTTAAAACATGTCTTGACTGAATAGATGGCAGGATAAAGAAGCTGTGGTACATACACACATAGAATACTACTCTTCTGTAAAAAATGATAAATCATACGATTAGCTGCTACCTGGCAGGATCTGGAGAATATCATGCTGAGTGAAATTAGGAGAGATGTTGGATTGGTTTGTCCTTCCTACCTTGCCTCGGGGAGTTTAGGTTATTGAGTTACCCGCATCACACAGCCCCAGTGGCACTCCCATTCCTCTTTATTAATCTTTAACTTATTCTTTGTTCTGATTCCCCTCTCTGTTAATCACTGTATCCCAAAATCAGACCCTGTGATTTGTAAAGTCAGATTCTTCTCAGGACTCTGGATTTTGTATATGCAAGTGAAATATTTGCTTTTTTCTTTCCCTTATGTTCTTTTCACAGTTTACTCTAGAGCAGTGTCCTTTTTGTATCGACACAGGAAGATAGTGAATGCTGTGCTTCTGGAAGTTAATTGACTCAGAACAATATTTATTCCTGGGCATCTGTCATATTTACTCGACTTAAGCCTCAGTTGTCCTTAGTTCCTAGCACCCCAAAAGGAGGGTTCCAGTGAGGGTCTTGGATGGACTCAGGGCAAGCCGTAAGCTACCCAAGCATTGAAAAGGGACAAGCCATAAGCTATCCTGGGATCTAAAAGGGACAGGCCAACCACCATAAAATATAGTAAGTTATGAGTATGGTCATGGACAAACTTTGTCATCACCCAAAAAGAAGGATCTGAATAAGGACCCTGCTAAGGTTAGGAAGACTAACTTGGCCTGAGGACTGTAGTCTGGGATATAAGAGAGGTGTCTCCAGGAG